TTGGTTTCTCTGCTTATTCTCGTTTGCTTCCTGAACAAGGGCAAATGTATGTACATACATACCATAAGCGTTTCGAGGCGAAATGTCAAGACAACTGCCATGTTGCCGCGTTGCGCCATGGGCAAAAGCAACCCATCCGAATCCCACATCAACACCATTCCAAAAGCATCCCATGTAAAAAGACATTCAAGCATATATGCACAGGATATAATCCCTTTATCGAAACCCCCCACTGCCGTCCCCCATCATCACCCTTCAAACTCGACGACACCTTTACTGGGACCCGCATCGCTCATGCCCGGCCCGATATCAACCAGCTTCCCCTCCCTTCCGCTCCCACTACCACTCCCGGACCCTGTCGCTCCCGCCTCGGCATCCGCCCCCGAGAGCAAATCTCTGTCCTCGCTCCGCACCCTCCTCCGCTCGGGATCCGTACTGGAGCCCGCACCGCCTCCCCGGACGCCAATCTCCACCCCGATGTCCGCGTCGTCCTCGTCGTCCTCGTCCTTCTGCCCCGGCAACGCGGTCTTCTCGAGCTCCTTCTGCGCCTCGTCCATCCTCTTGCGCACCTCCGCCGCCACCCGCATCCCGTCCGTCACAATGTTGTCCAGCACGCCCCGAAGCCCGCGCGTCGCCCCCTGAGCTGCCGGTGCGATCGCCGGCATCGCCGCCCGGTGGCCAAAGTTGATGCTCGAAAAGGTCGTCAGCGACGATGAAGCCGGCGGCGCCGACGAACCCAAGCCCTCCATGATGTGGAACGACGTCGGGAAGGACGATTCGAAGAACTGCTCCAAGAGCTCGTCGGCTAACACCACCATCCGGAACGTAGGGAGCGTGATGTGGAGGGGGTTGGCGGGGTCGAGCGCCGCGTTGGCCGCTTCGGATTGTGCCCTGGAAACTCTGCGTGCAGAGCCATCGGTCGAGAGCGCGGGCGTCGTCGACGGTTTCGCCGCCGGTTTGGGACTGCCGGGCGGAGAGTCCGGCCCCAAGAGATCGAGTTCGTCTTCGTCTTCGTCGTCGTCGTCTCCGATAGCGAAAGCCTCGCTATTGTCTGCCTGTGCTTTCTCTCGCTCTTCTTCGCCCCCTTCCTCCCCTGCTTGACCGTCCTGTGTCCGAGGTCGGTCCGGGTCAGCATACTCGAAACACCTCCTGATGAATGCGCTAACACTGCCCAGGAACCGCTCGTTGGCCGACACACCGCCCAAGTCGGTCTCTGAAGTCCCGGGCTGCCCTTGGCTGTTGGCGCCATTCGATGTAGGCGTCGAAGTACTCGGGCTCAGCGCACCCTCCAGCCCCCGCCGGGAGAGGAAGAGCAACGCTTCGGATATGCGTAGGATGCCCTCGCGGTCCACCTTCCCATCGCTGTCATCGTCGTAGAGCTCGAAGAAGTAGTTCATGGCCCCCATGATATCCCTCCTACCCTTGATCCTGGCCAAACCGGAGACCACGTTGGCCAGCGTGAGTTCTCCTGTGCCACCGACGTCCCAGCTCTTGAACAGCCGCCGCATGAACTCGTGATCGGCGGGTTCCGGCCCAGACCCCCAGGGGTTCAGCAACGCGTCGGACTTCCGATTGCCCGTGTGCGCCTGCGCCTGCAGCTGCGTGTCCGCGACCGCCCACTTGGACATGCTGGCCAAGAACTCCCTGAAGGCGTTGTAGTCCATCATGCTGGTGCTGGGGCCCAGGGCAATCCGGCCCTTGTCCACGATGTGGTCCCCCTCACCCTCGCCGCGGAACAGGTCCTGGGCTCTCGCCCTGCTGTCCCTCGCCCGACGCCGCGTCTCCTCCTGGATGATCAGATCCCTCTGCTGCCGCTCGTAGAGCAGCGTATAGAAGCGGTCGTACAGCGCACCCACCTCGTCGGCGCTGAGCAGCTTGCTGTCGGGCCCGAGGTTCCGGATGGCCGTCCTCTTGGTGAAACTCTCGATGTTTCTGAGAACCGCGTCCTTGTTTCGGAGCCGCAGGTCGGTGATGGTGCTGTGGGTGATTTGCGAGAACTCCTTGAAGGCCACCACCATGAGCTCTTGGAACTTGGTCACGGCTCGCAGCTTCGGGTTCTCCGACTTTGGATGCGCCGACTCATCCAGACGGGAGAAGTACGACTTGAGGACGGAGATGAAGGTGCCGTCATCGGCAGCATCCAGGAGCTCCTCGCCGTTGATTCTCATAATCGCCAGTCCGACCTGGAAGAGAACCTTGGGGCCCTCGACAAAGAAGACGTCCAGCACGCGGAAGGCGAAGACGAGAGGCATCGAGTTGATGTACAGAGAAAGGAACCAGGGCAGCGAGACGACGGAGAGCTGGACGTCGCTCTTGACAAGGTGTTCCCACAATATGGGCATGGTCCTTTCCACCAGGCACTCGAAGACCTTCTGGTCCAACAGGGTGCCGTACATGGTGGTGGAGTAGTAGCCGGGTACGAGGCGTTCGCAGAGGGAAGAGAGGAGGAAGAAGGCTTGGCTCTCGGACATGTAGATCAGGAGGGCGGCGACAACGATATTCATGGCCTGGCAGTAGCCGACGTCGGGGTTGATCCAGCTGTAGGCGGTCAGGACGCGGCGCAGGCGGCCGATGCCTTCCTCGTCCTGGAAGCCGGGATACTCGGGCAAGCTGCGGTTCAGGTCCTTTTCGATCTCATCGATGGCGAGGGACTCCTTCCCGGCAAACTTGGCCAGGGTGTCGGCGTAGAGGGTGGGGTTCTCGAGCCTCAGGTGAATAGAGCCAGAGGTCATCTCCCAGATCTCGCCCCTGAGGCGGTTGGGCAGGCCGACGCGGATGAGCTTGTGGAAGGTGGGCTGGCGAATGATGGTGATGTTGCGGCCGTTGTCGCGCAGGTACTCAGCCCAGAGGCGCATCTTGGCGCGATCGCGCAGCTTCTTGGGGTCACCAGGATAGCGGAACATCATGCCGAGTCCGGCGTCGGGGGGGCTGGCGTCCTTTTTTTCCTCCGGGCGGAGGAGGTGCTCTGAGTAGCACTCGGCGACAACCTTTCTAAGCCTGCCTACATTTCCGACAGCAGCCCGCAGCCCTTTCTTCAGTCCGTCGCAAAAACGCTCGCAGGCGTGGCGGGTGTCCGCCAGATGTAAAGTAATTCGCTGTTCCCTGAGGTTTTTCTTGTCGGTCGGTGGATTCTCTTTGCCGGTGACGGATAGGAAGCTGTTCCATGTAGTGATGGCGAGGGCGAACTGGAAAGGGGAAGACAAACGCATTAGCCTCCAATATCTCCCGAGTCAACAGACCTAGTTCGGGGGGGTGTGGGGGGGGAGGGTAAGAAGGCTTCCAACCTGAAAAGACTGGCTGTTCAACCGCTCGACCTTGCGGATAGCACAGAGCGGGAAAGTGAAGCCATTCCCGCTAGGCCCGGCACCATGCGTCTGTCCTGTAAAAACAGAGCTGGTGGCTGTGTTGGCCGACCGAACGAAGCTACTCGGGGTGGTGGAGAAGCAGAGGTAGGCCTCGGAGAGGTGCAGCTTGCCAGCGTAGTGGTAACCTCTGTCCGAGTCGCGGTCGCCCTGGGTGGCGTTCGGGGGAGGGATGGTGAGCTCGGCATTGATCTCGTAGAGGGGGTTCTGGGAGCTGGAGAGGCGAAATTGGCTCTGGAAGAGGGAGGCCTTGGACGGGTTCTTGTCGGAATTGGAGAGGTTGAGGCCCTGGGTAGGGTCGATGAGCTGCTGGGCCTTCTGCACCAGGCTGGACAGGTTCAACATGATGGGACGATGAATCGGTCAGCTGGTCATATCGAGTCGGTCGAGGAAATGATAAAAAGAGGGAATAGAGAGTAGAGAGAGCAGAGAGAGCGAATGCAGGCAAAGGGGGGTTGACAAGTGCCAGTAAAGCGTGGGATACAAGGAGGAGGGTTCGGCGGCGAGGCAGTAGAAAACAGGACAAGCTTATTCTGTTCAACAAGAGAAAACAGAGCAGTAGAAGAATGGATGGGTTGGTCCGGGATCGACGTGGAAAAGAAGGGAGCGGGCAGCAAGATTGCTGGAAAGTATCGTGAGGCTGGTGGTGTCGAGATCGAATCGGACGTGAAGGAGCGAAGGGGAAGATAATTCCCAGGCAGGTAGGTACGACAGGTTCAGTCTGGGGAAGTACTAAGGTAATTACAGGACAGAACCGGTACATACGTGGAATGTCCGAAGAGGGTACCGTGACACCTTTCAGCCCTGGACGAGACGGATAAAGCGTAGTGCTTCTCAAATACTCGAGGTACTTATACGGATGCGATGGTCCATGGTAAGCATGGATACTAAAGGCCTCCTGTCACAGCTCCACTACCTAGGTACCTACCTTAGGCTGAGGCATTCTAGTTTAAGAGGTACCCCTCCATATCATGTTGGAGCGTCGGTACAACTGGGACAGGGGCAGAGCACTATAAAATGATGGCCACCAACCAGTAGTCTATTTGTACTCCTCCTTATACCGACTCTGGTCAGAGCGACCAACAAACTGAAAAGTCTACCTTACCTTACTGTTCCAGTTTTAGAAAGAGGAGAGTTGACTAAGCGCGGCATTCTGGGGTACGGCACGGAGTTTGTATCTTAATATGCGTTGATCGATAGCAGAGCCCTCACATGGTCACGTTGGGTATCCCGTAGAGGACCTCGTGTAACTCCGTAGGCTGCTAACTTTGTATATTCCTCATGGCTCAAGCTAACGAAGAATACGCTGCGGACGAACTCCCCCACATGGCCAAATGAGGCTCGCTTGCTTACCTCGACTTACTCCTGATTTGCTTCCCACCAGTGCTCCTGCTCTTTTAATTTTCGTTCCCATCCCCAACCCCACAGCCATGTCTCCTGGGACTTGCTTTTCCACTGACGACGCTACCTTGATGCGTCTCGCGAGTCGTCTCGGCCCGGCCAGCACGAGAACGGTTGACCCCTAGAGGTTCCATCCATATGCTTTGGCCCGTCATAACTACTACCTTACTCTTACAACCACTGAACCCAAACCCAACGAAAAAGGAGAGGGAAACAAGAATCCGAGGCATAACAAGCCATCCAAACGCCTCTCTATTTTGGCCGCGAAAGCTGCAAGCCGCCGTGACAAACTCAAAAGTCGGCAAAGCACGGGTCGTATTTCTGGGCCAGATCGTCCGTGTATGGCTCCCGCTTCCCGGCTTCTTCCGGGTAGTGTTCGAAGCACGTCGTGTCGCTGGCCGAGCGGACCGGGGGCACAATCGGTCCGCGGACTCGCTGGCACAGGAGGTCATCCCATCGGATGCCCCTGAAGAATGGGTGCTCCTTGACCTTCTGGCCCCCGCCGCTGATGTTGCCCAGTCGGTTGGACCGATCCACGGTACAGAACGAACGGATCAGGTCCTTTGCGTTGTCGGAAATGTGAGGTTCCGCCGGGAATGTGATGGGTTTCTCCACAATCCTTCATTTTACAGCGTAAGCCGAGTGTTATCACTACGGGTGAGGCTAAAGAAGGGGAGGTGGAAGAGAGGTGCCAACAGTGTCTAGGAAAGAAAAGCAAGAAAGAAAAAGCTTACTCACTGTTTGTAGATTTCGAGGGGATTCTGATGCCAAAACGGCGGATATCCCGTGAGAAACTCGTAAAGCAGAATGCCCAGAGCCCACCAATCAACCGCCGTGGTGTGGCCCTTGTTCTGGATCACCTCAGGAGCCAGGTACTCGGGAGTGCCGCAGAGAGTGTACGTTTCGATGGGGTTGCCCTCGCCGTTAGTGAGGCGCTTGGCGAAACCAAAATCGACGAGCTTGATGTGGCCGTTCCGGTCGAGCAGGAGATTCTCGGGCTTGAGGTCACGGTACGCGACGCGGCCCTGCTGCTCATGGAGATACTCGAGGACGAGGACGATCTCGGCCGCGTAGAACTTGGATGTGCTCTCGTCGAAGCGTCGCATCTTGCGCAGGTAGCTGAAGAGCTCGCCACCGGGAACGTAGTCTAGGAGCATGTACAGCGAATCGTGGTCGGAGAAGGAGCACAAGAGGTTCGTGATGAAGGGGTGTCCCGAGACGTCGGCGAGGATCTTGCGCTCATGGCGGACGTGGTCGACCTGCTTAAGCTTGATGACGTCCGTCTTGCGCAGGATCTTGAGGGCGTACACTTCCTTCTTCTCCTCCTCGCAGGGGTTCACGGGCTTCACCAGGCAGACGCGAGCAAAGGTCCCTAACGTTCAAAGCGGCGCGAGGGCACGAGTGTTAGCCAGACCATGATCTTCTAGTCCACGAGAAGACACAAAGAGGGTGAGGTAAAAAGGAGGGGCCGGGGAAATGCCCGCGAGACCCTGCCCTTAGAGACAGGCAGAGAAAGGCCGGGCACGCGAACCTGTTCCCAGAGTCCTCACGATGCGAAAGTCGTGGGACGAAAGTTTCCTGCCGGCTATGGGCCCATGGCCGGCGTTGTGATGACCCCTGCCGTTGTGTATCCTGCTCTTCATGCGCGAAAACAGGCCCGGCTGAGACGCCGGCGGTTGGGCCGGCTTGTCATGGTTGCTGCTGAGGGAAGGGGTTTTGACGTGGGAAACGGCTGCCACCATGATGTCGGTTCGACTGAGGAATCGATTCTCGAGTAGTCTGGGTAGAGGTAGAAAAGGAAAATTGGAGGGGGCCTTGTCGGCAGGTAATAGATCGGGTCGTCGCAGTGAAAGTGCCGCAATTAACACATACGAAGAGAATAGGGTAGCAAACGAAGAGCGACTCGGCGCACGACTAACGTCAAGGCTGGTGGGAAGCAGCGATAAAGAGGATGTATAAAGCCGAGGCAAACGAGGTAGTCGAGTGATTTGCGAAAGTCACGAGGGACAGGCTGGCAACTTTAACATATAGCCATCGCTTTGCTGACAGGTTCTTCTGTGGCTTCTGTTGAAATCATCGCTCAATCCGACTGCCTAGGCGTGACGATTTCTTGTTGGGATGAGAATACGGATTCGCCTATGGCAGTCGGTGGTGGTTTCGGTGGTGGAATTGGTGCTTTGTTGTTGAGAAAGAAGGGTAGGAAAATAAAAAACAAAAACAAAAAATTGAGGTCTAGAATAGGAAGAGCTGAAGGAAGGAGGGGGCCCCCTTATGATTGATGACAGAAAAGGGGCGGGCTTATTCAACACTAACAACCTACCCAAGGTAGGGTAGGTACGTTATACATTGGCAGTTTTAACAATCCACCGACCTAGATGGCAAGAAGCTAACTTACACTAGGGAAGGGTATGGGGGATATATTACGAAGTAAAAAGAACACTTACGAATACTCCGATCTGTATCTCATAAATCGGGTGTTATTAGCCAGTGGCCGGATATCAGGTAATAGGGTACGTAATTGTTAAGTCTAAAGAACATAGCTTAGGGAGTGGGGGTGTGTAAGTGTCGTAGGCGGGAAGTAATTACCTTATTCGTCTCTGGTCATGAAAACGAACGGAAGATCCCCCCATTTTCTACCAAAAAAAAAAAGAAGAAAAAAAGAGTACTGGGACATACTAAGGGAACAAATGACCAACCGAAAATTGACATTTGTTACACCGGGCCGGACAGGGCTACTTCGTATGTAATGGTCCGGTCCGGAATCCATCGTAAGCGAACCCAGTATGTCGTCGGAACCAGAGGAATCATTGAACAGACTGGATTCCAGAGATAACGGAAACAGATGACGAAAGTTGGAGTCGATATCTTGCTATATTGGTGCAGATTCTAAGGTCCTTAAGCGGGCATACAGAATTCCCCTCCACCTTAGCCCTCGCAGATTTGTCGGAATCCATATCATAATTAATATGTCTTGGTTAAACTACCTTATGTAGCTGAGTGGAGATAAAGGTGCAAGCTGACGCATCTGTTTTGTACGGAGTACTTCAATCCTTTACGTCCCGTATGCGTGCAAATCAGCGCGGACGTCAAATCCCCTCAACATGAAGTGCAGCGCAGAGACAACCCTTCGTTCATTACTTGGCGGCCGGGACAACGGAACAACTGGTCAAGATTCTGTGGCAATCGCACGAATCGCACGATCATATCCCGAGGGACAAAACGCCAAGCTGACTCCCCAGGTTCTGTGGCCCTTCACTGTTCGTCTTCTGCAGGGCCAAGCGCTAAAGCGCTACCTTCACAGGTGTGTCGAGAAGCGGGGCTGATTCCCTTATCGACGAGCCCTATGACGCAACCCATATTCGTCTCAACTTGGGTCAGCGGAAATTATCAGGTCACTCTCCGGATACGGAGAAAGCCTCGGTACCTTCGGTGAGCGGAAGGACCTACTCCATGGAAAGTCACCTCCTTCAAACATTCCACACATTCGCTCATCTATACGGATACTAAGGTAGCTACCTTATAAGTAAGGTAACACGTGGTAGTCCAATGCCACTCCCACACATCCTCCCGAGCACTTGGTACCAGTCCATACCGGACGGTTACTTTGCAGACTATTACACCTCTGCCAGGGTTAGAAATATTAGCTGGAATATAACGTAAAATAACTAGCTAAGGATAAGAAGGACTCCTACAAGTAGAAGTACAACTAAATATAAGGAAAACAATAGCATTTTTAAGTACCTCTATCTATATAAACTTCTAGTTTCTTTCTTTAATACGATTATTACTTAATAGTCTATATCTTCGCTATCTCTCTTAATATACTAATATAGACGATTAGATATTATGAAGATTATTATAAAACTAGTAAAGTTATAAGTAGTTAAAGTTAGAGGGTTTAGTCTAAATATCGCGAGGAATCTAATAATAGCTTTATATAGCCTAATATTAGTCATATAGCGATATTTAATTTTATACCTCCCTATATAAAATAGGTGGAAAGGTACGGATCAGTAGCGTAAACCAATAATCGATCAAGACATAGGGCTAAGTTCCGAGCTAACGTTTCTAATCCTGGCAGAGTGTATTTCGTACTCCATACATACCTAGGTACCACTTCTATTAACCTCGATAGAACTCGATAGCAACCGGTGACGCCATCCTGTGATTGCAGCTCGTCCTGGGATACCTAATCAGCCATCACCAGACGAAACATAGACATCAGACAGACACAATATCAAACCGGGCATCATCCCGTCATCCCCATACCATACCTTACTCACGTCGCTCAACTCCATCCCCACCACCACCATCACCGTGCCACCGTGAATACTATGCAGGAGACGTCAGGATCGGCCGTCCCGCTCTTCTTTGGAAACCCGCCCTGCCGAAAGACGTTCTACCGAGAAATGTTACGCAATTAGACCCAGCCGGTCCCCTTATCTTTGTTCGACGTTCCTATTCCGAGTCTCTCACTCTTGCCTGGACCCGGGTGACTGGGTTTTCCGTTCCATTACGACTGGGTACATAGCCCATGGCATTATCACCTGCCCCATTGTCCCGGCGTGGATTCCACGGTGCTTGTCTATGTCTCGCAGAGAGTAAACACCGCCCAGCTCCTGGTGTTAGTCTCGAGTTTAACCACCCACTGCTGTGTGCGCCGGTTGGGGGGGGGGGGGGGGGGGGGGGGGGGGGGGGGGGGGGGCAAAGTCGGGCAGCGTAATCTACGTAGGGCTATGATCGTCCGTCATTTCGTTGAATGCCTTCATTTATCTTTTCATTTTCTGCCCGGTTTTCCCTGTTGCATGTCCCAGTCGCTAGGTCCAAACTAATGTAACCACCTTTCACTCTGTTTTGGTACAGTAACACATATTTAATGACACCGTCGGTTGATGTCAGATCGGGCAGTTTACTCAACACCTGGACCTGGACCCGATCGAGTGATCATGATAGAAAGAGTACTGGGATTGTCAAGTCCATCAACCGGATGCCTCGCTACCTACTTTATAACACAAGCCTCGGAATCTCTTCGACGCTGGATACTATACAGACAGGTACCTTTGGCCGTTTCTTCGCTTCTCCTCTCCTCTAGGATATTAACATCTAGTGATTTCTCGCCCAGCAAAGGCGTATTGTCCCACCCCTGTGAACTCCCGATGCTGTATTCGCGCAAAGAAGTCGTTGATCTCGCCTGCCCATGTCATCAAACACCCAGGGTATCAAGCCTGAAATCAGCTCATATCTTCTTCTTAACCATAACGGCGCCATACACGAGGAAGACTCCATGCGCTATTCGAAAAAGAATGGAAGAAAATAAAAATGAAAAAGAGAAAACAATAACAAGAAGAAAGAAAGAAAGAAAGAAAGAGGAACGGAAGCAATAAAACAAAGAGAGGACGAAAAAAAATCAACGACGCCTCACCAACCACCAAGCGCCGATGCCAAGGGCAACTGCTGTCGCTATCACCAGCGCACCTTCCTTGGTGCTCCACAAGAGCACGCTCCAGCCAGTAAACACCTCCCGTTTCCGGACCGCCGCCCTCCTCTCCCAGGCCTCCGGATCAATCGTCACAGGCAGCGAAACCCGGGGGTCGAGGACACCATTCGCATCTCCGCTCTCATCCGTAGCCTCTGCAGACGCCGTCATATCCTCTGCCGAGAGAAGGGGGACGTCCATACGCAGGAACACGGCCCGGTGGTCCGAAGTCCGTACAACCGGCATCGCATCGTACGCCCTAACGTTCATCCGAGTCAGGTCGTCCGGTAACCCACGCCGCTTGACCCCGCGGGGTATATCCAGGAAGAGGATCCGATCCGTCCACGAAGGCCATCGGTGCGGCGCGAACTTCCACGGCACGACATCTTCTCCTTCTCCTGCGCCGCCGCTCGAAGGGAGCACGTCATATTTGTACGTCGGCGGGAACCGGACCTCGGCCTCGCTCATCCCGTGAAACGTGCGGCCTGCTCGCCGCTCACGCGTCAGTTGGTCCAGGGCAAAGAAGCGCGGGTAGTAGTTCTCGCTGTCGGGGTCCAGGCTGGGGAAGTCTGCCATCGGAGGCGGGGAGCGGCTCGAGATGCGGTAGTTGAGGTCACCGGCAACGAAGAGGTGCGAGCTCGGCTTAAACACGGAAAGGTCGTGGAGCTGGGCTCGCAGAGCCACGTCCAGAGCGTGGTCCTCGTCCTGCAACAACCGCTGCCCTTCATCAGAGGTCTCGGTGGCGCTGTCGGCGTCGTCTTCTTCCTCGTCACGCCTGGACGAAGGAGCGCCGGCTTCCCCGGTGGCACTCGCCGCCTCTGCAATCGCTTTCCGTTTCTGCTTTAGAACCTCCTCTGGATTCCCAAACGTCAGGCCGCGCATGATGGCGGCCCAGTTGGCGTTTCTCCGGGGCAGGTTCCACTCCATGGCCGCCAAATGCGTTGCCACAAAAGTGAGCTCGCTACTTCGCCCTGGTCCGACGCCTGGCTCCTGGTCCTGGCTGTCGTATAGCATACGCAAGCCTGCAGCACCCTTGTTCCCCATCTCGGCAGCACCAAAGCCAGCCTCGGCCTCCTCGACGGACTGTATTGCGGTAGGATCGCGTGCGAAGAGCATGATGGCCGTCATGCCGACATTACGGGTACGGACAAGCGTGTACGGCCGTACCGGCACGGGTGCCACGGTCGGTTCGATGATGACCGCGGGTTCATCTTCGTTGTCGGTGTGGGAATGGGATGCGAACTTGGCGGCGGCAAGGTTAATAGCCTCCTCGAAACGAGCAAGGTAGGGGCTCAGGAAGTAGCCGCCGATGAAGGAGTAGGACATAGGCGCCACCTCCTGTAGAGAGCTGCCCACATCATTAGAGTCAGCATGGGGTCTGGACTGTCATAAGGTGGTAACGGGTCACGAGGGCACGCCGCCCAGGCCTCCAAAGTGGGGGGGAAGTGAGGGGCGAGAATAATTCAGTGAAAGGAGGGAAAAGAAAGGGGAAGGGCGGAGAACATACATCACGACGACCTCGGGCAATGTGGTAGCATTCTGCTGGAAGGCGGTCTGTAGATGCGAGGCAAAGACGCCGGCATTGATGAAGTTCTTGGCGCAGTTAAACGTGAGGATGAAAAGGTCAAGTGTTGAGGGCGCCATGACAGTGGAAGACGAGCCAGAACCCTCTGTGTCGTCGACAGGTTTCGAGGAAGCCATCGTCGAAGGTCGAATCCACCGTTAGATGAGCGGTTGGTGAGGAGGCCCTAGTCGGTGGTGTTGACCGATGTTTACCCGATGATGTAAGGTTAGGGAGGAGGGGGTCGAAGAAGCTTGACAGATCCACAAGCCCGGTATATGTACTAGTACTGTACACATCTCTCTTTCCCTCTTGAAACGAAGGCGGCGAAGTTCTCAAGGAGGAGGGGAGTCGCGACCGGGGTAGGTACGTAAACTAGGCAGCCAAAACCTCAGAAGGACAAAGATACGACGTACCTTATTTATGTCTCCAGCTACGAAACTACCTACCTACCTTGGGTTGTCGAATACAGCGTAACCGTAAAGGGTAAATACGATAAAAACGGTCAGATTAGGAGGTTCCAAATTGATTGTATTGAAACCGTAAAATGTTATAAAAACGTGTGGTTATAGGAGGCAAAATTAATGCCCGATAATGCTACGGATATCCACCTTCGTTGCCCAAATTTCGTAATCGGCCGTTAGGTTGTTCCACCCCCGAGGGAGGTCTGTGCGACAGACCCTTGTCTCGGTCTACTTCCAAATCCTCACAGGCAGGACACTCGGACACAAGTGGCAAAAGGCAGTGCGTCGTTAGGCCTCCAACGAATATTCACGGGATTGAGATTTCCAATCGGCGGGCAAAAGGTGCCAGTCGCGGAACACTGATCCGTGTGGACGGGGCTCAACTATAATTGTAACAGAAGGGCTTGCGGATAATGTATTTGTAAAGAGGCTATCTGATCTTGTGTCTGTGATGTTTAACGACGGTAGAAGTTTGGTCATAATAACCCTAAGCTTGGCGGCCAGGACCGGCACAACCCAGATTGACAAGCAGTCCTGAATCCTATGCACTGGGAAGGCCAGGAGGCCGCCGCACACTTGACCATCAGGCTGTATTGAGTGAGGCGATGGTCATAAGATGGCAAGCCTTGACAAGCTCCTTATAAGGGCGTGCTGCATATGACTGACCGTCGCCCAGGAAATCCGAGACGCTGGCGATAGAGAGACACGTTGCTGCCTTGTCCCGAGTTTGGCCTCCCCCGAGAGGTCCATTCGCCCTGACATGACGCATTAGCACTGAGCCCTCTATTCCATAAGGTTGTGACTCTGAGATCTCGTCCATGCTTCGTTGACATGATTCCCAAAAGGAAAGGTGCAGCCCCAAGACCACCAAGATAGGAAAACCCGAGTTACAAAAGCAGGAAACGGCATAAAACAAGTACTGGAAAGAGAAAGAAAAAAAGCAAACGAGAGCTCGTCAGTTGAACAATCGCAGCTGCTCTTCGGGCTTGGCGAGCCTAAGCCCGAAGAGCCGGTAATCAATCAGCGGCGTGACCAGGCTTATACGGCTGTTTTCCCATGCGGTCCGTCCGCTGCGTGGCAAAGCAGTTTGGGCAAACAAGTCTCGATGCCCTGCCAAAACAGGACACCGGACATGCCGTTCGGAATCATCCATTAACAATGAACGGTCCTGTCGATGACGGCAGAAAGCGCCGCCGTCGACGAATGACCATGCAATATCAAGGTGTTCCGAGCCATATAGTCAAATCACCGCGCCGAAGACCCAAATTGAGAATGCGTAAGAAATGAGACGCGACCGGTTCGCGAGGCAGCAGAGCCAGGGATGGGCGGATAGCTCTCAGACAAAGCCAAACCTCGAGGCCCGTTGCCATTTGGGCGAGAGGGGGGAACAATGGTCTAGCTGTACTCCGACAAGTGGGCGTCGATCATCTTGCTCGGTAAGACCCGTATCCGGTACCGGCGGCTTTCGAGGCTGATCGTAGCCTAGTCATATCCTTAATGTCAGATACCAAACAAAATCCGTCGCGTCAGATGCGGGCAAACATGGTGTCAATTTGACTACAACCAAATCTCAAAAGTCGCGCGGGAACGGTTGAATGGGGCTGCATGAATACTCACATCCTGTCGCTTCCACCGACTGCACGATTGGTATCCGGGTCGATACCGATACCAGAACTAGGTTCGATCACTTTGCGGCGCGAGCTGGAAACGGCGTTAGGCTTCACTCCGCCAGCAAGAGGGTTGGGCTGACCAGTAGTACCAGCATTGGCCCGAGTAGCGCGAGCCTTCTCTTCATCCTCCTGGTTGCCCGCGGCCTGGGCAATCGCCTGAGCGTTCTTCTGGTACTTGTACACGGTCCAGTCGAAGACGTAATCGTATTGGAATCCCTCGCGGACAAACAAATCGCGGAAGATCTTGCGTAGGTAGCTGTAGTCGGGCTTGTCGTCGAACCGTAGAGAGCGAGTGTAGTTGAGGTAAATGGCGAACTCGTTGGGGAAGCCGCGGCAGAGAACTTCAGTGGGGGTCGTCATCTTCTTCTCCATGATGCGGTCGTACTTCTGTTTCTTGGTCGCGGCCTTGAGTCCCTGCCAGGGAAGAGAGCCACGGCAGAAGTAGAGCATGACGTAGCCGAGAGACTCCATATCGTCACGTCGAGATTGTTCTTGCTCACGTGTCAGAGAGAAAGACCGGATCAAAAATTGCCAAAGAGGAAAATGTGCAGCTACTACTTACCGACACCAAGATGCGTGTTGATCGAGGCATAACGAGCGGTACCGGTGAGGTTCTTGTTCTCTCTGTAGGGAATATGGAAATGAGTCTTGGGGTCGCGGTACTTCTTGGCCAGGCCAAAATCGATCACGTTGACCTGATTGCCGCGCTTCCCAATGCCCATAAGGAAGTTGTCGGGCTTAATATCGCGGTGGATGAAGGACTTCGCGTGGATGTACTCGATGCGGGAGATAAGCTGGTCGGCGAGGAGAAGAACCGTCTTCAGAGAGAACTTGCGATTGCAGAAGTTGAAGAGATCTTCCAAGCTGGGGCCGAGCAGGTCAAGGACCATGGCATTGTAGTCGCACTCAGTGCCGAACCAACGAACGAAAGGAATGCCGACACCACCGGCCAAGGACTTGTATACCCTAGCCTCATATTCAAGCTGGGGGTGTTTAGCCTTGACGCTTTCGAGTTTGATGGCGATTTCTTCGCCCGAGATGATGTTAGTGCCGAGGTAGATGTCGCCGAATGAGCCCGAACCGATCTTCCGCCCGATGCGGTATTTATTACCGACGCGGAGGTCCTATGAAGGATCGTTAGCATGACTGAAGTCAATCCAACTGCCACTGACGAGCATAAGCTTGATGAGAGGCTTAATCCTCATCAAGGGCAATGACGCGGCGGTCTCTAACCCAAGGCAACACATGATAAGGTTATCGTACCATGGTTGTCATCTTGACCGGTTCGTAGTGGTGCTCCGTTCCTAAGGGGAGCTAGCCGTCGTTGTAATCTGATACAGGCGGTAAAGTCAGCTTCATGCACATTGGTTCACTACTCTTTTTTCTTCAAGACTGACTCCCTGTTGGTTTCGAACGGTAAAATGGAAGAGTGTGTGTGCGAGAGAGCAAAAAAAAAAAAAAATTAGAGCACAGCTTACCCTGGTGGTGGATAGAATGGAATTCGAGGCAGAGAGGCCTCTCAACGACACGGGGCGGATGGGCGACCCTCGTAGGCTATGCTAGCTTCTAAGGTTAGGTACGATGGTAAAAAGGTGGAGGAGTGAACAAGGTAGAGTAAGATTCTTTCGAATGAAGAAGAATCGTTCCAGTCTTGGAAGGGAACAAATAATATTATTGACGATGAGTGAAAGGCAAGCGTGGAAAAAAAAAGTTAGGAAAACTGAGGAGAGCTTCAAGACGTACCTTAAGACCGAGTTGATGGAAGTTGTGTGATCGTGGGGTTATGCTGTCGGGCGGTCGGTTTTGGGTGTGGGAAGGGAAAGAGGGAAGGGAGGAAGGGGGAGAGGAACGAAAGGGGGGAAGGGATAGAAACCAAGAAGTCTAGGTCCTAATGGTGGGCCGGCGAAAGGGCGGAAGAAGGGGGCGTAGGAAGGGGGGTACATACGGTGAAAGCGTTTTCGACTCGGATCCAGAACTGTGCTTGGCGTCTTGGCGAGCGGCGGCCCAATGTGGATCGTACCTTCTACGCAGCGCCCTTCGGGATGATTGTACCTAAGGTACCTAGCCGCATACAGTGGCAGTACCAACCACACCGCTTGCTGTATTTGGCGATGTCTTGGGCTGAAAGGGTCCTGGAAACAGGAAACAAGGCAAGTGACTTGCGCCTAGTCGCCGCTGCCCTGGTAGCCGCTATTAGTATCTAGGTAGGTACCTTACAATTACCTTGTCGTCGTTATTGTCGCACTGGTGAAATGTATTATGAAAACACTGTAATACAACTCCGCAAGGTACCTAGGTATGTAATTATAACACTACCTGATAAATACATCTTCCTACCTATTGATGAGCCTCGTACTGCTGACTGCCTAGGTACCTTGCCACGTTAAGATGATAAGGTAGTCGCCGAGTTAGGTAAGCCGGGCATTCCTGATCAGACTCGGTGTGATATGTCGCAAAATACGTACACAGTTCGGCACCTTCTCTACCCAGCTATGCATAATCTTGCTTAAACATGGGTAAAGGCAACAATGCATCTCAATAGACCTTTGAAAGGAGACGCCGAAGAAGGGAGTAAAACACTGGCTGGGCCAGACTTGATAAGAACATACCTACGGGCCGATAGGTAGGTAATATAATACTGACTGCCATGTATCCGTCTATACTGTACATACAGTAAAGTACCTGCTCGGTACTCTGCCTTAGTACGGAGTACTTGTGAGTTTGAAGTGGAGGTAGAGATGTTGGGGCAAGATCGACCACTGCATCGATTTGATTCTGGACCCTACCTAGCGGACTCAGGCTACCTTATGATTACTGACACGGAAGATGTGTGGCGAGTAAGGTAAGGTAATTGTTGACCTTCTACAACAATGTATGCGGACTTAACTGACCACAACTTCGAGCGTGGGTTATAAGGTCGGTAAGGTAGGTAGCTTTGGTTGTGCAGCGTGTAGCAGGTCGGAACTGCACTTTCTACGACATTCCCTAATAAGGTACCTTAAGCGATGTGCACTGATATTTACCTTTAGGTACCTTACTTTTAGGAGTATCGGGTTCTAATAAGGTAAGGAGGACGGATACGTAAGGGTACTCATCAAGGCGAGCAGGGCTGCGGTTGCTACTTCGTACTCATGCAAGCCAGCCCTGCTGCCGATACACCCTCCCCTGAAACGCTAGGGCCTGGGAAGAAGCACAAAGCTCCTAACTTGGAAACGAACCTAAAGCTTTTATATCTCGGGCTCATGCCCTGCTTATGCTGATCGTCGGCAGTTCTTCATGTACATTGGTGAAAACCCACAGGGCTCTCACCGCCCTCTCCATAGTACCTCAGTTTGAACCTACCGAGTCAGTCGGTCCCAATCCAGAGTAAACAATACCAATGAGAATCAAAATAAAATACAGGCAAGAAACGAAAATAAAGAGTTAGCCTGCCTCCATCTTCTTAACAGACCCAGCAACTGTTGGTCATGAGCGGGATAGGACCATAAGACCACATACTCTGCCGGGCTACTGCCATCTCAACGAGGCATATACTTCGCAGGATCCACTGACCTGGCCAACCTCATGGCCAAACTGCAGCTCTGATTTTAATGTGCATCCGATTGCCATGATTTAATTCTGGAACTCACGCTACTTCCTTTGGCAGTCCTCCAGCATGATGACAGACCACCCACACTGCTGGGTGCTCTGGCGAACTCTGCATGTACGTACGTACGAAGTAACTACAGTCTCCACCTCCAAGGTAAGCTGAAGCCAAAGATATAACGTCGTGAGGGCCGCTCCGGTGTATCTACGAATAATACCTGCGGCGGCCGTTGCCGTCCCGAACAAGGTCCCATGACCTTCCCCCCTCATTTCCCCCTGCCACCAAACGGTCAGCAAAGTATCCGTACACTGCGAAGGTGTCATTGAATAGATTAGTCCTGGAAGGTCAGAAAGGTCGGCTATGATGAGTTGAGTGCACCCTCGCATCCACGTTTTCCAGGCCATATCCTCCCGAAGTCATCTTCTTTCGTAGAGTCATCTGTTCCACACGGTCCTTCTCCGGAGTTAAGATCTGGTGTTACTAACGCCCTATTTCTGGTAGAACAAGAATCATCAGCCCGGGCGGGCGATGCGAGCACCGGATCTTTGCTGTCCCCTAAGCCAGATCCTAAAAAGGGCAAACGCCAGAAAGACCCCCAAAAAAGCCAAACTCGGCACCGGTTCCCCCGCGTATTTCCCCTTGGCTATACCGTGCCAAAATTCCCCGTCGTGCGAGGAAGCGACAGAAGAATGAGCTGATTGTCCGTTTTAGCCGCCGAAGGTTAAAAGACACCGGCGATTTGGGAGCCCTTCAATAACGTGCATTCCGTACCAAGGAAATATTGCCCGAAATAATACACATGTAATCACATAGAAGAAGCTGCTGATCTGGCCCAGCCAAGGTTCAATGCCAATCTTGGACGAATCACACTCCCAGATTGAGTTACCTCTCTTGTGTCCGTATATGTAAGCTGCGCGTCTCCCTCCCCAAATGGCATTCCGCCATTGCCGCCCGACCCTTGCCGGCCGGTACGAAGTTAATACGACGCGTCTTGTCAGCTGATCCAGTGACTCCCAAACCGTGCGAGTAGTGTACGTACTCCATTCGTAATCAGCCTCACCCACATGGACGAAACCGCAGTGGCGACCCTCTAGCCAGGGATTTTGCAACCCCAAGTATCACCTCACGACATCAGGCCACATACACTTTCTCCTCCTCTTGCTCTCTCCAACACGAATAGCTAGGAGGGTGGTCGATCATGTCCCCTTGAGTACAAGGCCAAGCCGGACTTGCCGTCGAAAACTTCAGATTCTGCCATACGTTTGGAGGTTCGGCAGATGTTTCAGGCTTGGGATCCCTCCCACCCCTGTATCCTTAAAAGAAAAATCTCGACTGCTCCGTTCAACATTTCCGATCGTCGTTGTCGTCGCCGTCGCCGGGACAGGGCACCAGGAAAAGCACTTCGTACGAAGTACTCCATTTTCAGAACCGACCGTTTCGCCGAACGCCTCGTTTAGCCGCAAGTGGTACGACGACACGAACTAGCAACGGCCCAAACTCAGGCTGGTTTCGTTGGAGCCAGATGGAATCATTTTTGCCCATATGGTTCTCACAAAGAACATTTCACATCGTACAGGGTACAATCCGCCTCGTTTCCCTCATCCAATGTCTTAACCTACCTAGGCAGGGAGAATACCTAGGGAGACGAACATGGTTCGCCAGGTTATCTCGCCTCTCGATGCCCAATACCACTCATTGCGATAGTGGTGGATCGTGCTGATGTGATCTCTATCTCAAGACGTAGGGGATAAATGGTCAGTTGTTGACAAATTATGGTACAAACATGGTCTCCCAAATCTCGAGATGATTCAACCCGATACCCGGCGTAAAACACTCCTCTGTAACTGCCTTCACGAACAAAGTATTTGCTTTGTATGCCGTATCACCATGGTATCAAATCGGTGTAGAGACGAGGATAGCTACCATCATGATGCTGCGTAACACACACGCGTACTACTACATCGCACGCATCCCCCCACCCGCCGGCCCTTTGTCCAACATCCCATACGGGAGAAATCGTGGCATCTGATATAGCTACGTACATTAATTAGAATCCCAACGCGCGCCCGTCGTTTCGACGCACCTCCGATACAACAGGTAACTGGGAAGGAAGGACACCTACTCAATTTTCTAACCCGACGTCCCGTAACCAGTTGCTCTATCCGCCTCGGACACGGCGCCGGTCTTTGCCCCATCCCGTCCCGTCCCCTCTCCTCTCCCCCCCGTGCCCGCATGGCGCCCCACATACCATCCCGGGAACCTGGACGCCCGGGCCGTGGTGAATATGCGTTGAGGGACAAAGAAGTTGCGGGAGGGGGTCAGCGCTTTGGTTGTGAAGGGTACGCCGCGGGAGAGCAGACACGAGATTCGTTCGGGTGGATTACTAGAGGAGGAAGAATGGAGACATGAACTTGACTAGGAGGAGGGCGTGAGCGGCGTTGGCGAGGAAACGTAGAGAAAAAGTAGAGGGTATAAGAGATATGCGGTTTGGGCGAACTTGGGAGTGATAGACTGGCATGGCAGAATGGGTTGTTTTGCGATGAATCTTTCGAAAGATTTTTTTCACTGCGATGGCTGATCAAGACGATTCAGGGGAGAGGGGGGAGGAAGGACGAAATATCGTCAGGGGGCTGCTGCTTGACAGTAGGCAGAGTATGGCAGGCTTCCAATTTCGCTGTCGAGACACTATAGGGATTTCAACTTAAGCTCATATGACCCTGTACGAGAATCCATGGGAGCACCATTCACGTTAGACATTTTTGTACTAGCTATCCGCTTTTGAACGAGTTCCGGGAGACCAACTTCGACTGTTACGATTCGCCATTCTATAGGGTCATCTAGCCTCCCAAGCAAGATTTCATCTCATGCGACTATCGACATTCCTCCGTCATTATCATCACTATGCTTTTTGTGTGCTTGTCCTCCACGTCATTTTACCACGCTAAACGCTTAAGCGGAGATCTTCTGCTTCAGGATATCCTTGAGGGTGACGGCATCGGCGGCGAACTTGCTGATACCCTCGCGCAGCTTCTCGACGGCCATCTGGTCCTCGTTGAAGTCGAAGCGGAAGTTGGCCTCGTCGTTGATGTACGTCTTCTTCTCGATATCGAGCGAGGCAGCGCTGGAAGCGTCGAGCTTCTTGGGGAGGGCATCGGACGAGTTGTGAAGCTCCTCGAGGAGGTTGGGCTGTTTGTAGAACGTCAGCATTGGCAAGAACATTCCGTTGTGTCTACCATCTACCAGCAGAACGATGTTCACGTTGGCTGCCAAATGGACGAAAAGGGGGAAGGGAGCCATACGGAGATGGTGAGGTAGTCGCAGCCAGCGAGCTCAGTGATCTCGCCAATGCTGCGGAAAGACGCGCCCATGACGATGGTCTTGTAGCCGTGCTTCTTGTAGTAGTTGAAGATGCTCTGGACCGACTTGACGCCGGGGTCCTCCTCCTTGGAGTAGTCCCTCTTGTTGGCGGCCTTGTACCAGTCGAGAATACGGCCGACGAAGGGGGAGATGAGGAAGGCACCGGCCTCGGCGGCGGCGATGGCCTGGACGAGGGAGAACATGAGGGTCAGGTTGGTGTTGATACCGTGGTCGCGCTGGAGGATCTCGGCGGCCTTGATGCCTTCCCAGGTGGAGGCGATCTTGATGAGAACGCGGTCTTTGGAGATGCCCTGCTCCTTGTAGAGCTGTAGGGTAGGATTGTTAGTGTTAAAGCGTCCACCCCTCGTCCTTCGCGTGACACAAGAGGGGTTTGCAAACCTGGATAATACGCAGGGCCTTGTCGACAGAGGCCTTGGTGTCGAAAGACCACCGGGCATCGACCTCGGTGGAGACCTTGCCAGGGATGATCTTAAGGATCTCCTTGCCGAACTCGACGAGGAGATGGTCGAGAGCCTCGTCAACCTGCTGGTCGACATCACCGCCCGTGGTCTTGGCGACCTTCACGGCCTCATCGATGAGGCGAGCATACTCGGGCTTCTTGGAGGCGGCAAGGATAAGGGAAGGGTTGGTGGTGGCATCCTGCGGCTTGTACTTGCCAATGGCTGGAAGGTGATAACATTAGGTTAGCGGAGGTTCTCCGATGATGGGGAGTTGAGGTAGCGCCGCGGACTTCCACCCGCCGAGGACGAGCAGAATAGAGCATCTAGGTATGAGCTAATTATGACGAGACTCACTTTCGAAGTCACCTGGCAAAGAAACTCTGGGTTAGCTTTAAGCTTTAAGAACTTGAAGATTTTGAGCTCGAGAAGATCGAGGATGGGACAGGATACGAGGCTTACCCGAGTCGCAAACGACAACCTAATCGAGGTGAAAGTAACACAAGGATTAGCAAATATGATTCAAACCAGACCACTCATGATGCTGACGCTTCATGGTGACTGCAATAACGACGTTGGAGGTCGTCAAAGAGCGCAGTGGGGGGAGGCAACTGAACACCCAATGTCGTCCGACGATGGCAACATGGCGGGGTAACTCACGGTGCCGCTGGCCTTCAATTGATCCAAAGAAGAAGACATCTTGAGGTTGGAGGGTTGTGTGACGAAAGGTGATTAGCGTCGAGATTGAAACCGGGATATGAGACAGCACCAGGCTGAGCGTTCGATCTATATGGTTATGGTGATGGGTTGGATGATGTTGATGAGGATTGGTAAGTGAGTGTTGTGTTGTTGTAAGAGTCAAGATTTTGCTGACCAAGTCCAGACGACGGGAGTCGGAGGCGAAATATTTGACCCCCTCGTCTCAACTTTTACACGGACCCCCGCCATGATCTAAGGATTACCTACTTTCATCGCGCAACAAGCTCCCACTTAGTAAACGAGTAGTGGGTACCTCTTGCTGGTTACCTTATGTGCTACGTAATTATCCGGCGAGCCAGTGTTCGGGAGAGCAAAGGTTGGGCCAGGAGTGGGCGATTACTGTACCGTTGCATGTACTGTCCGGATACCGCGGGACGTTTTTCTGTGGCGGGGCCCGAGGGGTACAAGCCCCCCACCCCCCTCAGAGCTGCGCCAAAACGTCAGGAGGGGCAACTCAAGTTACCCCTCCCCCTCCGTCTTTTCCTCCGTCTCCCCCTCCTATCCCAACGTTCCACTATCCCTACCTCTTCCGTCATAACGGCTTATCCGTCCTCCGAGTACCTAGGTGGTACTCGCCTGCTCGCCTTCTCCGAGGAACAAAGTAGATTCTCATCGATCTATCTACAGTAAAGTACAGAGTAGAAACAGTTAGCCAAGTCAAGACGAGGACAGAGCCCGTACACCATAAGGTACCTAACACTGAGATGAATCCACAAGTCGTTCTCGCCATTTATCCCGCCACATATTCCGTCCCTATACCTCAGGTATCGATTTTGTCGTACGCGTATTGGAGAGGCTTCTTCCAATCCCATGTTCGGACGGGCGCATGCGTCGGTCCAATGTCGCGTCGGTCCAACACCAACAGCGAGGATGATATCCCATCGTCAAACGCTGTTAGACGAGTCCGACATCAGATTACTAACACGAGAGGGCTCCCCCTTACTCACTCATTCACTCATACAACTGCAGTCACTCGTGTCCCAATGGGCACTTCCACTATACTCTCAATGTATCCCAACGCTTCCAGCTTGGTCCGCCATCATCCTCGACACGAGCCGCCTCATTAATCATTAGGATCTGTCTGGATCGATACAAGCTCGTCTTGGCAACCCCCTCAATTCTCGCAGCTAGCCCTCTCAACAACCTTGGCCGACGCGGGCAGTTGTATCCGTATGTACCATCCCCTCGTCACGAGGGGAAGACATAAAAATGCCTCGAATAATCTCTTGTCCTTTTCCTTTCCCCCCCATTTTACCCGCTACCTTTTTACAGCCTCCTCCGATCCCGCTGTTCCCCCACCCACCCCTTTTTCAATGAGAACGGATTTGTACCAATGGATTATTCTTTTGTACCTTTGTTACGCTGGCATCATGAACAGCATCTCGCTTTCTTCTCATTCCTCTTTCCTATGACTTCCTTAATAAAACCCCGTCCCTATTTTATATAGCCCGGCCCTATTTTAAGCAAGGATGAACCCCCCCCCCCCCGGGTTTCCCCCCCCAAATTCAAAAGGATGACATTGCTTTTTCCCCGAATTCATCTGAACAAAGTCTTCTCGTGACATCCTATGCTACCGTCCCCTTGGGGTTTCCCGTTTTCTTCATCTCTCATTCCTCTTTAGTCCTCGGTGATATCACCATACTCCCACATGCCCAGCCTATCCTCCTTGGCCTGGGCCTCCACCTCCCGGAGATGCTTCAAGTAGGCGGCATGCTGCCCGCTGCGCTCCCACGCCTTGAGCTTCTTCGGCACCATGCCGTGTCCGCTCGCTATCACCGCCTTGTTGATTGAGTCGCTGGGCCCCGGTTTCCCGCCCTGTGAGTTATAGTCGTACAGCGTGATGTAGCTCACGTTCTCCTTGCTGTCAACGTAGTCGAAGCTCGCGACCAGCTCCCTATCCCCCGTCCGTGACGCGATGAATTCCTGCGCTTCCTGGAAGTACTCGGGCGCCGTGGGCAGCTGCACGAACGACAGCGACGCGTCCACCGCCTGCGCCTTGAGTTTCTGCGTGCTGAACTGCGGCTGGTCCAGCGGCCGCAGGTCGGCCCACGCAATCTTCTCCGCGTTGCCGTAGTCGATAAACACCACCTCCGCCACCTTGGCCGTCCGGTCGTTCGATCGGATCCGGCCCCGGTACCATTGCCCGTCCGCCGAGTATTTGGCCGCGACCACGTCGCCCGCCTTGGGCGCGCCACCGAGCGGCTTGGCATTCTTCGAGTCCAGGTGGAACTTCTTAAACTCGTTCATCAACGTCGTCAGCGCCGCCGTGCCCTGTCCAATTTCCTGCAGCTTGAGCCTGCCGTTGCCGTCCATGTCCGTGATCACGACGTCGCGGTAGTCCTTGGGCTTGTTCTCATACGCCTCCGGCGACTCGGTTTCCTTGGCCGACGCCGCCGACGCCGCCGCCTCCTCGACCTCCTCGTCTTGCGAAGGGTCCCAGTCCTTCCAGACACCCTTCCTCGCCTCCTTGGCCCGCTTCTCGGCCGGCAGGAGTTCGCTGGCGTTGCCCGACTTCTCGGCCGAGTATGTGTGCACCGACGCCAGGCCCTCCTCAACGAGCATCTTGGCGAAGCTCTCGCGGTTGATGTACAGGTCGCCGATGAAACCGCCCACCTTGTCCAGGTCGTGGACGTCCAACTCGCAGTCGCGCTGGCTGCATCGCCGGTTGGCGAGATCCAGCGCCTCCTGTCCGAACGGCTCGCCGCCCTCGCCCGTGTTCCGCGGCGCCCGCGGCGCGCGGATGCCGGCCAGGACCAGCGTCAGCTTGATGCCCTCGCGAGGCACGAGGACGGTGAACCGAGAGCCCGACTTGACAAAGTCGACGATGCCGGGGACCTTCTTCTGCCGTTGGAGACCGGCGAGCTGCATCTTGGCCTTCTGCAACGACTCGGACACGTCGACGAACTGCTTGATCTTGGGCGGCTTGCCCGACCAGATCCCCTTCTTCTCCTCCTTGGCCTTCTCTTGGGCCGCGAGAAGCTCGTCGTAGTTGGGCGCCCTGTCTGTGTCGTCCTTGCGGTGCCGAATGACCGTTGCGTATCCTTCCTCGACGAGAAGCAGACCAATGTTCTTGCCCTTCTCGGTCACCGTTGCTACGTCGCGAGCCTCGAACCCGTCCGAGGCGGGCTTGTGGCCGTCCACGGTGACCTTCACCGGCTTTGCGATGGTCTTCTTCCTCAGGAACTCCTTAGCCTCGTCCCTGTACGGTGCCTCTGACGGCTCATTGGTGCGAGGGCCTCGGATGCTGCTAAAGTTGATCCGCTTCTCGACGGTGCCGGCCTTGTTCCGAACGATAACGGTGTCGGCACTGATGACCTTGGAAACAATCATATCCGACTGCGAAGCGTCGCCCTTGGCAACATGGTGTTGGTGCAGGCGGAGTTTCTTGCCCTGGGCCGATTTTTCCGCGGCACGTAGCGCCGCCATCTTCTCGCCGAGCATGGTCGAGTGGAAGTCGTTGCACCTTGCCAGGCCTTCTTGCAGCAAGAACTCGGCGATGTTCCTGTTCCCGATGGGGTGGATGATGCTCGCCACCAGTTGGCCCTGAGAGCTGGCCCCGACGACATCCACCTTGACCCGGCGCTGAAGCATGCGCTCCTCGACGAAGGCCCTCGCCTCGTTGCCGTATTCTTCCGCGGGCTGGACCTGGCCGGTAGATTGGATTGTCCTCTCGGTAGACGGCGTCCGGATGCCAGCGATGAGCGTCATGACCTGTGCGTGCTTCTTGTCCGAGAGCAAGAGGCGGACCAGGAGCCGGTCACCGCTCAGGACGCGCTCGACGATGCCGTCAACCGTCTTTCCTTTCCACTCGTTCAAGAAATCGGGACCGCCGAGGTCGTTCTGGACTTGGATGACGCCGCCGGAACCGGACCAGAGACCCTTGCCCTCGCTCTTGGCTTGGCTCTCGAGGCTGCGGAGGTTGTCTAGACGCTGTAGAATCTCTTCCGACTCTTCTTTGCGGCCGGCATCCTCGCGGACTTTAAGCCAACCTGCCTTGACAGCCTCTTCCGGAATTGACGGCCCGTCTCTGGAGAGAAGGACGGCGCCGAAATCACGACCCGAGGGGACGGTGTAGAGGACGGTACATTGAACCTGTTTACCAACGGCCGATTCCCGCAAGTACTCCCGGGACTGGAAAGCGAAGGGCTCGTCACCTTCTTTCTTGAGGCGGGGAGCGTCGACAAAGGCGAGGGAGAGGATGCGTTCGGCCTTGGGGTTGTTGGGGTTGATCAAGACCAAGGTGTCGCCGGAAAGCACGCTCTTGACCTTGGCAAAAAATGTCTTGGACATTGTGAGGATAAAGGAAGGGGGACAAGGACTTCTTCGAAGACCTATAAAGAATGAAGGTTAGAGATGATGCACGAGCCCGAGAGTAGTGGCGCAATCCGAAGGCGGTCAAGGTCATCGTGTCAAACTAAAGTGCGGAACAGACAGAACCCGAGTCCAGAGCAATGGAAACGGTAGGGAAATGGAAATACAGAGATGACAGCAATGCCTCAGGAGAGCCCCATGCATAAGGAAGGGTAGGAATAGGGTTCCTTGGCTGTGATACTGTAGGATAACCGCAGCACCCCATTCCGCCCCCCCGTTGCTATGGAGCTGGCCAAGGCTGGGTAAAGACATAAACAGCAGAAGCAATTGGAGATGGCGATCCCATGGATAATTGAAGGGCAAGCAGAATAACAAAAATTGCGACTTACCTTGATCCGTAAGCGATGTAGATAGCAAATATAGGGGGATATGTGATGAAGAATAAGGAGAGAGTAGGTGAGGAGAAGGAAGCGAGTCGGAAGGGCACACGAGTAGTGGGGTTTCAAAGGGTTGAGCTGTAGTTTCGAAGTTGCGGATACCTTATTGACAGCTTGCCTCAATTTCGGTTGGATAGGGACAGGATGTGGGGAAGATACTTCGTACGGAGTGCGAAACATCAGGTACAGTGAGTGAGCAAAAGTTTCGGGATAACCTAAAGTAGAATGCTTCGAAGCTTTTGGGGAACACTTTTTTATTAGTGGCAAAATCATATCATATCACAAAAGTAACGAATCACAGGATCTTTAAAATATACCGAAATTATTGCTCACCCACTGCAAGTACCGGCGAGTACCGGGTCAATATCTGAAACAGCAAAGTACGGGAGATACTTCAAGGGCCCTACATACTTTTAAATATAATTTTACGGATGCTTCCTATTCATATCTCGTCTACGAAGTACCTTATCATGGAATTATCTTACTGTGGCACTTTCTTATTTCGAAATTGCTGTCACGTGGGCTGCTTTGTCCGTGAATCGACGACTTAAAAGTACCGAGTACGGATACTTGCGTATCTGTAGTGATTAGCTGATACTCCTCTGTACTGACCACTGGCAAGGCTTTAAAACCTGGCCCAACAATCACCCTAGAAGAAGAAAGGGGGCTCCGATTGCCTCAGGGGGAACGCCAAATGGAGGCGAATAGTTCATCTATGACAGCGCCTTAGCCACGCCGTTTAGCAACGAATTCATCTTCCAGGGGCTCCTGAAGCCAAAGCACCTGCTCAACGGTCTGGAAGGTTGGCTGGTCGATTCCGGAGTCCCGAATCCGGTAAGGTAAGGTAGGTAATAAGGGACCTAATTATTACTCTGTACCTGGTACCTATGGCTCGAAACGCATGGTCTCGGATTGATAAAATAGACTGGAGGCGAGGCCCACTTATAGTGGAATTTACAGTGACGGTCACGTCACGCCGTCCTACCCCTCACAGTCTTTCCATCCGGACGCACACAGTATATGAGGTTAGGTCAACAAGCTCCAGCGTCTGGGGTAAGGAGCGTCGGCCAACGCAACAAAGGAAAGTTAAATCGAATTTCTCGACCAGATCAAAACAACTTTTTTTCATTATTCTCTTGTTACTGGCATCAAACTAGCGATACAAGATTGGCCAGAGGCCAACCGAGTAGTTCAAAATCAACGACCCCGGGCATCCATGCTTAGTCCTGGCAGTTTTCCAGGTCATTCCGAGCTGTCCTTGGTCCAGGGAGGCTTGGGTCGATTTAGCTGGAGATGCCGATGACACCTGCAGCAGAAAGTTTCGTCAGTCCACCGACAATACAAAAGGAGAACGAAAGCGTCTGCAAGAAAATGGTACGAAATCCCAAAACATACCGCAAGCAGGGCGAGGGCCAGCATTGCCTGTCTTGAGCGACTCCTCGGTGTCACCCTTGCCAAGATCGTCGGTGCCGGCGTGAACAACAACGGTGCGCTATCGTCCAGTGTCAGTTATACCGCAAAGATTCATCCTTTCTCGTCGCGTTCCGTTCGTGGGTGTTGCTTACGCCGATGACGCTCTCGGGACCGATCAGCTTGATCAAAGAGTCTGTAACCTCGCCCTTGGAGTTGCCCTGAGCATCGGTCTCAATGTTGCCAAGGTCACCAACATGGCGGTTCTCGTCGCTAGGGGCACCGTGCTGCTTGCCGTGGGGGTTGACTTGTCCAAAAGAAAAAGGAGGAGCCGTTAGCCGTTTGCTCATTCGCTTCTAGATGACCTAATGGGTGGGTGGACGTATGTTGGGGGGAAGGGGGACGCGGCTTGGCTTACAGTGAGGGCCGGCCGATGTGCAGCCGTTCGTGTTGTCGCCGAAGGTGTGGATATGCATGCCACGCTTCGCGTTGGGGTCCTGGCCGCTGATGTCCCAAGTGACCTTGGTAGGGGCCGACTCGGACTCCTGCTCGAAGATGACGGTGCCAGTGACCTTGGAGTCACCACGGACGACGGCAACTGTCACAATGTGCATCAGCTTCTGGATCAAAAGGCAAACTCCGCTTGGTGTCAACCCATTGGTCCTCGCGCCACCGTTTTGAGACCCCTCCCACCCGTCATCCAGGTCCACGGCCTATCTGTGTGTGGTACAGGCTGGCAGCATAGACTCGAGGACTCCTGTCCGCAATAATTCCTCAGCTTGCCGTGCCATCAGGGTGTTACCCCAGACGTCCCAGTCAGGCGGACCGCATGAGGGATCAACACGAACAGACCCAGACCTTCATCCAACCACACATTGGCCAACGGGATGATGCCAATGAGGAGACAGAAGGACGAGCAGGTGACGAGGAGATGACCATCAGGGTGTCCTGAGGCTCAACCTTGCCCTGTCCCAAAGGACGAGAACCTGCTCAATCCAGCTCAAATCGTAACCCCTCCATCCCAACAGGGACGAGGCGAGGCGCTTTAGGCTGCAACGGCCTGGCTATAAATGGTGGGGAAGGGGGGGAAACCCTGCTTACCAGCCTTGACCATTGTGTCTGATTTATTTGAGTTGGTCTGGATATAAGAAGGGGAAGGGGACAGGTCTCTTGACGAGTTCAAAGACAACTTTTGTTCGGTGTTGCTACTCGTTCGACGGTAATTGAGAAGAGAGGAGAAGACAGGAGGGAAAACAGTAGGGGGGGGTTCTGAAGAGAAGAGGAGACGGGGTAAAAGGTGAGTTATTATGGAGATGGCACCACCTAAACACCGAGGATCGCAGCAACCGGGCACGACTTTCCATCGGGCTTCCGAGCTTTTGGGGGACTCTCCATTCGCTACCCCCACCTCCGTCCCACGAGCTCCCGCCCATCCTTTCTACGGCTTTCCGTCCCTTGCGAATCTGTCCCTCGCCATGGTTTCGGGACCTGGATCTTTTGCTCACTACCATATGTACGAAGCACGTTGTACTTCTTTTGCGCGACCCATGTTCCAATGCGTCAGTGCTAGTTCCAGGTCCAACCGCAATCGGAGATCCGAGCCGCGTCACAGAGAAGACTCGAGAGGGGTTCCGTCGAGGGGTGGGTGGGAGCCCAAGGAGGGGCTCCAGATTCTTTGCCCCGCTCCAACGTTGGAACAGTGACGCGGGACGTTGTACAGTGTACGAGCCGTCATGGTGACATTGAACCAGTTGCTTATTAATTATTAATTCCTTGCGACCCGCGTCACGTGGGCTCCGCCAGTTTCGACGTTGTTCGTTGCGAGGATCCAACGGCTTTTTGAGTCTTTTGTCCGAGATGGTAAAAGAGCGAGCAAACAGTACGATATTGGTACTGATAGTGGGATACAACGATCTTCTAATATATGCCCACTCCGTCGGGTTGTCTCATCTTCATTCATCTGCGTACGTGTATGTATCCGACGAAACTCGGACTACACTGGCTATAATAGCTGCGACGGAGGCTGGGAAGGACCGGGAGGGAGCGGGGAGGGAGCAGATTCAGCGCTTGTATGTCAGTGGTTCCCGGGACAGAGGCCGTGCAAGGCCCGCTGCGCGGCTCGAAACTCTCGAGATTTCCCATGTGATGGTTAATAGTAGAGTGGCTGACCAAGCCGGATATTCGCGACCAACGTGGTAGCTAAGACGGGAATACCCAGCCCGCATCTTTGAATCACGTAGAGAGACGAAGTGCAGTCTGCTCTCTTCGTACTTCGTATAGGTAGGTTCCTGGAATTTCCAGTAAGAGACATGTTGGCTAAGAATGACTAAAACCAAGTATCAGCAAGATTTGTATAGGTAGGTACCTTACATTATATCACAGTACCTACCTACCTTACGGAAGTATTATTGATGAGGTGGAAAGAGCATTGGAGGGGTCGCCCTGTGACGAGGAAAGGACACTATAAGAGTCCTTGCCATCAGAAGGACTGTAAAAGGGCCCTGCGTACCTTAATAACTACTTTTCAAGTCGGCCCAGACCTTTCTGAATTCCATGATTCGCACCATAGCAGATATCTTCACGACTACGTCGAGCAAACTTCCTCCAAGCCTTTCCCCTCTCTTTGATCTGGAGCCGAAACATTGAATATTCCTCCAGCTTCTAGGTACTGTCCTCCCAGGAGCCATGGCGAACTAGAGGCAGCCAGAACAGTACCAAGTGCGACAGAAGACTGCGATAGACGATAAGCTAGGCCGGAGTCCTCTCCATCCGTCATCGTCCGTCGTCATCCTAGTCAGCTAGCTAGGTGTTAACGGGTAGTTCGTCGGCAGCCTACAGGGCTCAGCAAGCCCGCGCCACAGCGGATCCTTATGCATGTTTGTGTGTACGGAGTACATAGGTACATTCGTGCAACATACCTATCCGGGAGGGGGGGGGGTCTTGACAGTCTAGCCTTAGCATAACCACCGTAAACATAATAGGGTGGGTGGTCATTGTGTGGACATGAAATCGATAGCATGAACAGGGTACTTACTGGTAAGTGGCTAATACTATGTCAAAATGGTCAGGTATATTAGGTGGGTTATTCTAAACGGTGAATACTATAGTGACCAGTAAAAAACGGTGGCTGAAAAATGTATACTGTCATGCAGGTCAGGTTGCTGTATTAGCTATTATGACCCCACTAAATGACTAACCAGTACTGACTACACTGACCGTTAGTGAAATACTGGCTGATATAACTATACTGAGGGAGTCGATTGGTATTATACTGGTTATTCTATCTCTTACTGTTAGTATAGTGAATTCGATAGTATAGCACGACTAATAGTAAGTTTAGTAAGTTATTATATTCCTTCGTTATCGCTATATTCTATATAATATAATAGTGAGCTTTTTCACCGTCCCTCTTTAGACTTCCTCGTTATTAGACTTTAGCTCCTTCTTTAGGCTTACGCCCATTACTGATAACTAGTCCGACTTCTTTTAGACTCCTCTTTAGTAGTCGGTACTATAGACTATCTAGTATCCGTGAATTCGCCCCCCACGCTGCCTTAGCTATTATAAACCTCTATCAAATTGGAAGTCGTGTCGGGGGTATAGACGGGGGGGTTATACTATAGGCCGTATAATACCATTAGCGAAGTTAGCAGACCTAGTCTTTTATGCGGTATCAACGGGCACTTTCGCTATATCCGGCGTCTTTAATAGCGATATCTATATAAAACTCGTCCGTCTTCTCCTAGATAGTATTACGGGTATCCTCTGCCGCCTGCGTCTCCTTCTATAGATAGGAATCCACGCTAGGGTAAGGAGTAGGGAGTAGGACGAGCTCGTATTAAATAGTATACTCGTGAAGGAGTAACTCGAGGGGATCGATTTAGCAGTAAGAATCATTATCGTTATATATATTTATATTTAAATCGGGAATAGTAGAGGGGAATCGGCGTCTAGGGGGTGGGGTCTCGGATATCTCGAATTCTATATCCTATTCGGTATCCTATTCGGTATCTATTAAAATCGTGGAGATATAGTATATAGGTAGGGGTATATAATATGTGGTAGTCCTTTTTAGTAGCCCGGAGGTAGTATAATAGCACCTAAGGTATAAACGAGATAGGTTAATACTAGACTTAATTTTCTATTCCTGGAAGCTATAGCTCCTTACCTAGGGAAACTTAAAGTAAAGAACTCGAGATACGGATAACGATACTAGGAGCTTATAAAAGAGAAGGATAGTAGACGACTTAGTGTCCCGCTAGCGAAAACTACGGGTATAGGGTTTCTCGATATATATAAGGAGTCTATGAAATAAACCTGAGTTAGAATCGAAGCTGGATCTAAGCTAAACCTGATCTAAATCTAAGCGCCGTGAAATCCCTACTATTCTTCTGGATATTATATAACCACTAATTCGGCCTTAAAGTAACTGCCCGTTACTACTATATCCTAGGACCTAATAATATTCTTATATTAAGATATAAAGTCTTTTAATTTCTGTCCGTATCCCTGTCCTGTTTATTTACTACCTCCCCGAGATAGCGCCGTGTCCTTAAAGCCGAAGTTATTTCACTATATAAATCGTAAAACAATATTTTTCCTTTCTCCTAACTTTATCCTCTATTTCCCTAGGCCTCGCTAGCACTATATTCTATTTACTGACTATCCTCTTCGATAGTCTACGCCTCCTAGGCTTCCTACTCCTTAACTTTATCGTTATCGACTTAGGTTCGCTTTCGTTTACGAGAGGCAGCTTAGTTAGGATTATATCCCTTCTTATTGCTTCGCTCCTTTAGTATCACTATAGTTACGATAAGATATTTCTCGGCACGCACCTCTCTATTATCGATAGTAGTGAAACCGAAGAAGTTAGCGCCTTTACGCTAGTCCTTCACCTTATCCACTCGCTTAGGGTTAGGGACGGTGACCTTTTTGCTATCCTGTATAATAATATTCTGCTACCACTTCTCTAGTAGCGTTCTGGTATACTTAGGGAACTTTATCTTATCTTTATAGATAAAAAGGGCCGAGAGAAATAGTCCGATATACAGACTTTTACTATTATCCTTTTTAAGAGTATCGAAATAAAGGCGGTACCTAAGCTTCTAGGAGCTATAAACCTTAGTGGCTGCTATAGTGGTTACTACGAGATGATAACTTAAGTAAGCTATATCTGGATCTTGCCTAAGGTATTAGTTAGTAATATCTAGTAAGTTATTTAAGATGGCCTCGGGAAATTATAAGAATATAGTAAGAAATAGTAAGAAATCTCTGGTATATATAGCTATAGCTAACCTAGAAGTCTAGTCTTTGAAACTGAAGCTGCTATTACTGTTATCTACGATATTTGTATTTAATATAGATCGTAGATACTAGAAGCTGGAGTGAATCTAATAGGATAGGTAATACGAGAAGTAGTTTAAGAGAAGAGGTTTAAGACGAGAGAACGAATATAAGGTAAGGTAGTAATTTAAGAGGACTCGGGAGGGACTAGGGTATATAAGGTAAGGCACGACTACCTTACCTTCCTATCTCCGTGAAAGGTATAAGAATCGAGATTTAAGATATAGGGGCTTAGGCTAATAGTCACTATCTAAATTATTTCACGACGGACAATAAATATATAAAAGGCATTATATCTTATATAGTAAAATAGAAGCTATATATTTCTATCGCGATGCCTTTATACCTGTGTCCTTAGGGATATTCTGTTCCCGTAAAATAAACTGCTAACCTAGACCTATACCGCTATTATAAACTATAGTATATAATAATAGATAATATTATAACTCCTAGATACCTTATAACCTTCCCGAATCCTATCGTGATAGCTATAGAATAATATCCTATATGAATAGCCTAGACGCCTAAAACTATTTCCCGAATAAATCCTGCCCCCCGTACTCTTACGACCTTAGTATATAGTCGTGTTATTATTATTGCTATTCTTATTACTATCGCCGCTATTATCCCCGACTTACGTAGTATCGACGCCGATAGCCTCGAAAAAAACGTCGCTCGGCCGGAACACGGTGTTATTATTATCGGTAGTCGATATTTTATAGCTCTTTCTCTTTCGAGTCTTAACCCGTCTAGGTCTATCGGTAATCTCCCTAATAGAGGGATATTACGACGGCTTCCGGTCCTCTATAGTATAGTGGACGATAGGGGACTAGCGTCGAGGTTTTAGTTTAAAATAAGAAGAGGATATTAACTAAAGAGCAGTAACTGTTGTTCGTAGTGGTCTGGTCGTAGTTACGTTATAAAGACTAGACGTCTTCTTTATAAGGTAGGTTTAAGCGTAGAATAGTAGTCCAGGTAAAGACTTAGATTAATCGATATCTTATTCTCTAGTAGAAGTAAGACCTAGGATACTCTGGTATATATAGCTTATTATTTACTAGGTCCCTGGTAAATAACTCTATAACGTTTACTAGGTGTTTACTTATTATTTACTTCTCCGTTAAT